CTAATTTTTTTTAGAATAAAAAATAATTTTTTACGTACAAAATGAAAGTTGTATTTATATTTGACTTAAGAAAAAAAAAGTTAAAAATGAATTCTTTGTTTTATGATTAAGCTTATGAAAATATTAAATATTATACACCATATTAAATGGAAGGGTCGTAAGAGGAGAAATGTATTTTTGTTACTCAAAAGACTTAATTTAGTATGAACCTTTTTTTATAGACAAATTTTCAATATCTTAGGGTGTTTGTCGTGAGTTTCGCGGTTTTTCTTGGTTTTACGTTGTAAAATTGAATTTATTTGTAAAGGAATAATATCTAAAGCCTTGACCAATACAAACATAACCCTTTCATGTCATATGTAGTAGATTTCCATGTCGAATGGCATTCCATTATGTATTTATAACCCTGAAATGTGTTGCCATATCGATAGCCCAGAACTTGGGTTTCCGCATCAGCATTCGGCAGGACTGTCATGACATTTAAAGGCCTAAACAAGGAGACAACGAGAGGTGCAGAGGGGCGCATACAGGAGGCAAATGCAGATACAGCAGGCAGGACACAGACAGGACACAGACAGAGAGAGAAGCCATGTTTATGTCCTGGCACAAATGCAATGCCAGGACAGGAACGGGACAGGACAGAACAGGGGTTCCTCAATTCCCAACACCCTTTTGCAGGGAATGTAGTTTGCTTTCCGTTTTGTCTCCGTCGTTGTTGTTGTTTCCACCATTGACCGTGACGCTCGTTTCGACGGCGCGCGGATGCTAACTTTGTTGCCACTTTGTTCCCAGCACCTCCGCCCCCCCCCTTCATAGTTTTCCCCAACTTTTCAACGCGGGAACTCCCGTTCTCCTGTCTCTGTCTGTGGCTATGTGGAAACGTGCGTTGTCTACCACCTGACGGTTGACTTTCTTCCTCCCTAATGAAATGCGGCTACAAATGCAATTTTACATTTTTCACACAGGGAAAAAAGCATTTTATCTGTCGTCGGCCAGGCCCCGAGCAGCTTCGAGGCTCCGTGCTCCTTCGCTCCACCTCCGGCCCAAAAGGACACCGAAATCCTGTACAGTCACTGCACGTGACATGCATGTGCCGCTGTCTCGGTTAGCAGTGCCTGTCCCATACACTCAGAGAAAAGCGCAGTAAATGAAACATTTGTGTTTTAAATGAAATAAAATAAATATAAAATAATACAAAATAATATACTATAATACAAAATAAATATTATAACAAACTAGGTATACGAAAAAAATGTTATAAGACAAGACAAAAAATAATACAATACAAAATAATATAATTAAAAAGAATGCAATAAAAATTATACAAAAAAAAAATAATATAATAAAAAAAAACAATACAATAAAAAATAATATAATAAAAAACAATACAATAAAAAATATACAATAAAAATTATATAATACAAAATAATATAAAAAATTAAAAATAATATCATAAGAAATATAATAAAACGGAACTTTTTTTACAATCTATGAAGAGATTATTTAATTGTTTGTATTTAATTTTTACGATTTATTATTATTTTTCCGAGTATTTTATGATAATAAATTGTTTTAATGTCTTAAGACATTTGTTTTTTTTTGTACATTTGTTTTTATTGTATATATTTTTGTCTATGTTTTACACCGTTTTTTTTTGTTTTATTTGTTTTTTTATTTTATTTTTTATATTTTACATTTTTTTTTTTAGTAACAGTTTTTTAATGAAATCTCAGGTATTTTTTCTCTGGGTGCATCTGTATGTGTGTGACTGTAGTTCCTCCTGGCATTGTCTGTTTGTGTTTGTGTTTCGTGTGCATGTCCTGTGTGTCCCCAAAGCTCTGCTCTCTCTCTCTCTCTCTCTCTCTCTCTCTCTCTTTGTCGCACTCCCTCTCCCTCTAGTCAGCTTGTTTGCACCTTGTCGAAATTAGTGTTTGTACCGAAATGAACACGATTTGTTTGACCAGCAGCAGGTGTTGAAAATACACTGGCGCTCTGGCTATGGCACTGTCTCTATGGTTGAGTTGGTTTTTCCACACCTCGTGTGTCCTGGTTTTGACCCCTCCTGGCTGTCATACATGTCGTATGGGTAATGTTTTTCAAATTGTTGCGGTCACTTTTGGAGAGACATTTCGTTTGGAGAACACTACATCGCTGGACAGCCTGGTTTCCCGCTTGATTGTTCGTACAATTTTTTGATAAACATAAACGAACACGAAAATTCTATGTTTTGAGGCTGCCATGCCACACAATGTTGCCACACACACGAGTACGAGTACGAGTAGCAGATAAAACCTCAAGTTGGTTCCATTTTAACATTATTTTTGTTGGCACTTGAATTCAATAGTTTGCTAGAGGGAGTCCTGCTGCTGCTGCTGCTGTCGATGACAAGATGGCACCGCACCGCAGGCGGTCAACAAGTGGGCGTGTCAGGGATCATAAATCAGAATTTATGTTGCGCTGACGCCCCAGACAGACAGCTGGATGGAAGGGTAAACAAATAACTCAAGTCTGCAGCACTAAGTTCTTTATTTTTTATTGAAGTTTATTTTTTGAAGCCAAAAAACAGCGGCAGGGTCAATGGCAGACTTTTTAATAGCCAGACTTCGGAGAAAAATCGTTGGAAATAATAGTTTTAATTGGCGAAAAAATGTATACTTGAAACTACAAAAATTCAGAATTATTTTTTTTTCACATTAGATATTTCAAACTAATTTCCATAATTCCGTAATTCTGGAATTTTTCTGTAATTTAGTTTATTTCTTTCATTAATGATTACCTATTCATTTTGTAATTTTATTTATTTTATTATACCCGATACTCAAAATGAGTATTGGGGTATATTAGATTTGTGGTGAAAGTGGATGTGTGTAACGTCCAGAAGGAATCGTTTCCGACCCCATAATGTATATATATTCTTGATCAGCATCAATAGCCGAGTCGATTGAGCCATGTCTGTCTGTCTGTCCGTCCGTCCGTCCGTCTGTCCGTCCCCTTCAGCGCCTAGTGCTCAAAGACTATAAGAGCTAGAGCAACGATGTTTCGGATCCAGACTTCTGTGATAGCCCCCACAAAGAGCGAAAATCTGTGGCATCCACAATTTCGACGATACGAGAAAAGCAAAAACGCAGACTCCTAGAGGATGACTATATCTTCTAGAGTGCAAAATCTGAACCAGATCGTATAACTATTATAGCCAGAATCAAGAAAACAATTTGATTCTTTCTCGCTCTGTCTCTCTCTAACACACAGGTTTCATGGTCGGTTTTGCCAATTGCAAAATATGAGTTCAAGGATCTCAGAACCCATAAGAGCTAGAGCAACCATTTTTGGTATCCACACTCCTGTGATATCGGACCTTGACCGTTTTGTGTCAAAATTTTGCCACACCCCCTTCCGCCCCCGCAAAGGACGAAAATCTGGGGCATCCACAAATCTCAGAGACTATTAACGCTAGAGTTAAATCTAGTATCCGCACTCCTGTTCAAAATTTCGCCACGCTCAGACTGATTTTCTGTCTCTCTCGCACGCACTCTTTGTCGTGTCGTTCAATATTAGCGGCGTCTGCCGGAGGAGAGCCATACTGACTTAGTATCAGGTATAAATGTAGAGTTGCGGTGTCCGCAGCAACCCACAACGTTCCCCCTCGTTTTTTTTTAATATTTTTTATATTTATATATTATATATTATATTTATATTTTTATAATATTTTATTAAATAATTTTTTCATTTTATTACTTTCTTATCATTAATCGTTTATTTTTTTACTATGAATTTTCTGATATTATTGTTTTTATTTTCTTTCCGTTATTATTATTTAATTTTGTATTATTATTTATTTTTATTTATTGTTTAATATTAATTATTTCTTTATTATTTATTTTTGTATTATTTGTTTTTTATTCATTTATTTATTCTTCCTTTTTATTATTTTATTTTTTGGTTATTATGTTATTTTTTATTATGAATTATTTTTTATTATTATATCTTTTTTATGATTATTTAAATTTTTTATTTTATTTTACACCATCTGTTGGAATGGAAAACCTATAACACTCAAAAGCTAAATAATATTTCCATACCAAAAATTTTGTTATATTGAAAGTCCATCATCCTTGTAGATCAGATACCTTCGATATCTTCGATTTTTTAACATTTTTTGTATAGATGTATTTCCATAAACAGATACTATGGTATCTGCTGCTTTCCAATTTCTTTAATATATTTTTTAATTTGATTTCCGCTTCAAAAGATTCTGCGTTTATGACCCCCAAACATATTCCATAAATTCAGTGGAACATCCTTTTTGGCAGCCACAATTTTTCATTGCCCAACAAAACTACTTGGCGCGTAACGAAAATAGTTGCAAGTGCGGCCAAAATATGTCAGTCTGGGGATCAGAATTGCAGACAAGTCTGACAAATAAACAGTCAGTCAACCGCCACGGCAGTCAGTCAGTCTGTCATTCTGTCACTCTTTCAGGGGCAAGGGCAAAGGGATTTCTGCCACTGCAACCACGAATGACAGACAAGCAGACAACCAGACAGACAGCCAGACAGGACAGATGCCACAGTGATTGCAACAAAATACGAGCATCTCTGTGAAGGTAAGTAAGTGCTGAATAGAGGCCTCTCTGGCTCTGGGCCCCCTCTCCGTTTGCCTGGCAAACTCATTAACAAAGTTGGCATAGAAAACTTGGCTATAAACCGAGAAGAAGTCCTATGCCGCAATCATCCAGAAGCAGCCGCAACTAATGGCTGTCAGAGTTGTCGCCGTTTTGGGGAGCTCTTCCATCCCTTGCCTCATCTTAGGAGTTTTCCCAACAGTTTTCTTATACTTTTTTTTGGCAACGACTACGCTCAGTGCAAGTTTTATTAAAAGCCAACCGTCGGGGCGACAGTCTGTGGGCCAAAAATATTGAGGAAAGGGCGCCCGGAAGAGGCAAAAACTGAGTTGTGGCAATCCAAAAGCCAACTACCGCGAAAATTATGGCTCACATGTGCTGCAGGACTCAGTAGTGTGTATTCAAATGATCCTGACAGCACACCGTGTGCTTGGCATTGCAGCGACAGTAGCCCAATGGGCAGCAGCATGGCCTGATGATACTCGAATTGTAGGGAAACACAATCATCTTCCAGCTGTCACCGATATTGAGGACCTCGTAGTGGAAGCCGTTCTTGTACAGCACCGTCTGCACCTTGGAGATATAGTAGGGCATTATGGCCAGCAGACAGGCGTCCAGGCAGTTCACATAGATCTGTACGCACTTGATCAGCTTTGCCAGTGTATAGACACTGGCGATACCCTCGTCGAAGTAGTAGACGGCATCAAAGTGCGGCTGCTCTCGGCCAAATATTTCGGCCGCCTCCTGTATCGTCTCGAATGTGTGCAACGTTGTGACGCCCGTGGCTCCGCTGGGAAAATACAGATGGGTGACGCCACCCGTCACCAGAATGGGACTGGCACACGCGGGGGCATCCTTCTCGTCGGCTAGTACATAGTCCACCGGAGGCTGGCACTCGTCCTTCAATAGATTCAGGGATCGCTCGTAGTTCGGATGATTGGCCACATGGGGCTTCAGCTGGCGGAAGCGACTCCTGACCATCGCAATGAACTTGTCCCTTATCGACTGATGCACGGCCACAGTGGCCAGTGGAAAGAGCTGGAACGGCTCTTGCATGAATCCGGCCACGCTATAGGCGGCCGTATTCAGATCCCCATCCTGGCCGACGATCATGAAACGGGCACCAGGCCAATACTTTGTGGGTTTCATGTCGTGGCGCTATTTGGGGATTTTTTTGAGATTTTATCACTGGTTTATTGAGCGGCTTACCTTCTTTATTTTGCTCTTGTCATAGCGTAGATTGTGCACCATATCGTAGGTCACAAAGTTCTTGGGTATTTCACACATTTTCTTACAGGGAAATTTGTTCAATTTTCACTAAGAATTTTTAGGAGAATGACAAAGAAAATCATGGGAATTTAGAGCACAAAATAAGACTGGGTGGGGAAGCACTTTTGGTAAAGGATTTGGAGTTTTTAGACGGATCTGGCAATGGATCCACTAGATTCATCAATAAAAAAATCTTTAAGGCATTGGAGTACTGGAAACTATCATTTAGTAGCAAATATTACCTTTCAAAAGATTAAAATCGTAGTAAAAATCACAAAAATAAACCAAAAGTTTTTCCAAAACCTCAAAATTCTTGCTTTCTCAGCTTCTGGACTTTTAAAAAATTAATAGAAATAAAATAAAGTGAAGTACAATTATATTTCACCTATTTTAATATTTCAAAAATATTACAGCCTCCATTCTTCAGGAAAAGTCTAAAAAAAAGCGCCACCACCCTCAGGAAAAAACCCACAAATTCTCATTAAAGTCGAATCAAACAGAGGCGCCAAAAACCATGAATTTTGTTGCGAATCTTCACAAACACCAAAAAGATTCATAGCTTTATAGAAACCACTCAAAAAATACCCCAAAGAATCACTAAATATTCCCTTTATTCTCGAAAAACCATTATAAATATGTAAAATCAATTGATTCCCAAAAAATTGAGCAATCAAAAGTTGTGGGGAAATTAACTCGCAAAAGCCGTCGCTTGTCCCCAAAAAAAAAATAAATTAAAGGAAATCAAGTAAAGCCAGAATTACCAAGGCTTAAACGACACACTGGCTAACACACACACACACACACCCTCCGCTCCGCACCCTCAACAAATCAGGCGAAAAAAGCAGTTTCCAAGCGATAAGAAAGTTGCACAGACTTTCCAGACGAGGCCACAAAGAAGCAACAGACGACCCCACAGAAGCAACAACTATACAAAATATACATATATATATGGCGAGATATGAGGATATCCCTATAACTAGGGAGGGGAGGGGTGTAAAGACAATGCTAATGTCATTTTCTCTCAAGTGCCATCCACAGAGGCGAAAGCGAGGGGTGGCTGGTGGCGTTGTGTCATATAAAGTCTCAAAACAAAGGTAATAAATAAGTTTGTCTTTATTTTTCCATGATACCCCTGGAACGTGGGGCGTAACAGGCGTAGAGGAAACGTTTTTGCTATACATTTTCTTGTTAAGGATTGACGGATCTTGGATATTATCAAAGATAGAGCTTTAAAATTAAATATATGAAGTTCTGGGATAACTGAAAGTCCACAAATAATTATTTCAATCGGTTAGGTACATGCTCGTATTATAGACGGAATAAGGAAAATAAATTCCTATAAGAAATAAAATATTTTTGCGAATAGGATTCTCTCTATAAATATAAATATAATAGAAAGAAATATAATAAATAGAAATACAATAAATATAAATATAATAAATAGTAATATACTAAAAAGAAATATAATAAATAGAAATAATAATAAATACAAATATAATAAATACAAAAAATATAATAGATGGAAACATTATAAATCTAAATAAATAAATAGAGAGAAATATAATAAATCAAAACAAACAAATTAAGAGAAATATTATAAATCTAAATATATAATTACATATGAATATATTAAAAATAAATAATAATATATATTAAAAATAATCTTTAGATGGTTTTCCTACTTTTAAATGACAATTTAATAATTTTTTCTTAGTGCCATACGAAAATAAACTGTTTACAGGGTAAAATAAACACCAAATCCCTTTTTCTTTATTCTTTTCTTTGGGAGAAAGTGGCTCCCTTCAGTGTGGGCGCGGCGACTGCTTAGCCTCTTAAGCAGATAAACTTGAAAAAGTCATCTCTGGTACTCGGGGACATTTGCGACCAGCCATAAAGGAGATTTATAAAGCAAAAATAAAAACAAAAAACCAACAAACCACCACAGAATATATTTAGATTTACATGGGGCTGTAAATTTATTTGCCAAACCAACAAAAACAAATACTGAAAGTGCAATGAAAATAAAATTAGTATGTAATTTGCTTTTGCGGTTGATTTGTTTACTGACTAGAAAATGAACAGTTAATACGGCAAGCGTATGAAATGGGATGCCAGAAAATACAGGATGCCAGAGCAGACAGGGATGCCACAAAAGTCGTTCTAAAAATTATAAAACCTCAAAGAATACATCGCTGAAAAGAAACCCTAAAGATTGATATAAAAAAATAATTTAAAAACGAAGAATCTCTAAACATTTGTATGCCAAATGCATCTGGGTTTTATCAGATAAACAAACTATATATTATGATAGATAAAATGTTCTGGCTATGCCTTAAAAATACCCAATAAAATATGGATTAAATTTTGATAGAATATCCAGCAGTTAAGGGCACCATTTGGTAGGCATTTCTTATATATTTTCCACAGATTTATGTTCTTTCTACGAGCACACAGCTCTTTAGGGCTGGATCATCTCCTCTATATATTCTACAACTGAGTCACTGTAAGGATATATCGCTGGACACATACCCCACACATCCACAGGGAAACCTGCCTTTCCCACAATACAAAATTAACTAAAAACATCAGTCGACTAGTTCTGTCGCCTGTCGCCTGTCGCCTGTCGCCTGTCGCTGTCCATTCAATTATACATTTTGCATGCAATTTCAAATTTTTGAATTTCTATTTCATTTATGCAACGTTTTAATTAAATTTTTGCTTCTTAGTTTTTGGTGTATTTTAAAAAAAAATTTTTTTTGTGCCAGCAGGCGACAGACAGCTGCCGCTTAAAGCCACAAAAATTACGCATACGCAGTGTATAGATTAAATTAAAAAAGTTGAGGCAGCGGAGATGGGGCCGAAAAAAGTTGTGTTCCGACTTTTTGGGATTTTGGTTTCAACAAATTTGGAAAATTGAATTTGGTTGGGGATTGGTGGTGCGGGGAGGGCTATGTAATTTGTGGAAAATGTTTGACAAAATGGCAATGACAGGGATTTTTGTGAAATGATATTCTGATTTCACGATTTAAATGCCGTTCAAAGGTCAACCGGAAATCAGCCGTTCCCTGTGGAAAGTAACCGTGGGGGCACTTATCGAGCGATAAAATATGAAAATGCAATGAAAATGCGCAGGAGGGTCGGTGGGCATGGGGCAGGGGGTCCAAGTGCAAATAACTGTTGCCAAACATTTTCCAAACGAAAAATATAAATTTTCGAGGAACGTTGGGGAGGGGGGGGGGGGGGGGGGGGGCCTGCTCTTCCGCCAGGACTCCTCTTGTGCAGGACTCCCTCTCCACGCAGTACTCTCTCGTTGCTCCTCTCGATTCTTGCGCTCTCCTGCCTTCTGTACCATGCATGCAAACAAGATTTAACGATAAAATTTTAATTAGTGCATAAATGGGCGCCTGATTGTATGGGCGTGGCCCTACAGAAACCGAGAGAGATAGAGAGAGAGAGAGCAAGAACCCCCAGACACATTGCGGCTTTGGCACTTTTGTGCCTTTTATTTGCCTTCTCTGCCAAAAAGCATCGACTGAAGAGGGTCCTAAAGGGGCTAGTGGGGGGGTTTGTGTGTGGGGACATCCTCTGCTCTGAAATGAAGAAATTTTGGCGTCCCCCTCCGCGTGCTTTGGATGCGAATGTGCCTCCGCCGATAAGCGTTAATTGGCATTGGCTGATTCCGGAAGATACATACGGAAGCAAAGGCATCGCACGAGAGGAATGTCACTGCGGCTGCGGCGATTAAAGCGGCGTCTCCTCGAAAAAGACCGCAGAAAGTCTTTTGCTAGCTAACCCTCCGGAGAATATGTTTCAGCAACAATCTTACCCCAATGGCGACAGTATTCTCGGATGTCTAAAGATTAATCCAGACTCCGGCGGTACCTCACGGTTTGCTTCCGTGCTTCGAACATCAATGGCACTTTTGTAAATTGTTCACTGCTTAAGAACACGACTGATCGGGCTTGATCGTGCACACGAAAAGTTTGAAGCCGCAAAGCACTCTTGCATGACGCCCTCTAGGTTGTCAAATAATAACACCCCTGATCCCAGCTTTTTCGATTTCACCTCTGCGGCCAGCTGTCCTGTCAGATGATCTACATCGCGCCTTCCAACACTTCATGCCCCCTAAAAATTTGTATATCATTTTCTAACATAATACCGTTTACGTTTTTTTAATACATTTCGGTATTTTTGAGGTACAATGGGTGTCTGCATCTCCTTTGGGGTTTATTCTCCACAAACAACTTGACGTTTGCATCAGGTTTTCAGGTCAGCAAAATATCCAATAAAGCTGAAAACATCCCTTTCCTTGCAATTTTTTTTTGTCTCCCCATACCATCATGAACTCATGACTTCATGACCTTCTTCACCCAATGTCGGGCTGTGTCCGCGACGACCTGCAAAAGGAAGTATTGGAAGGAAATATTGGGGTGTTGGTGAATTACATAGGACTATCTATGGCTGCTAAAGAGGCCATTAATTTACGAAGACTTCTGGACGAGATGGTTAATCGTCTATGGCGACAGCAGTTCGCAGCATATTGCCCCAAAAATACTACAAATCGATGGAAAAAATATCGTAATAGCAACAATATGTATTATAAAAAATAAAATAAAAAAATAAAATAAAAAAATAGAAAAATACTACTAAACTTTCTGGAAGAAAAAAAAATACCACAAAGCTTATAGCTCCCCTAAAAAAAAAACAAGAGCATACCATTGCTTTAGTTTTTTAAACATTTTAGAATGTTGATTTTTGTAGACATCCCCATGACATATTCCAATCATATTTCCCTCTCAATTTTTAGTGACATTTCAATGCATAAAAATCTGTACAATCGGAGCCGCAACAACACAAAACAAATTGAATATAAAAATGTAGATAAAAGATGGAAACAACAATCTGTTTCGAGTACAAAAACAAAAACCACAAAAGAATAAAGCATTATGGCAAAAGTGCTGGCAACAACAACAACAAACCAGAAAAGAGGGGCAAACAAATTTACTTTCAAGTTGAAA